CAGTGACCAGCCTAGAGCAGGCTTACAAGCAGATGGCACCTGTCAAATTATCTGTTACAAACTGCTCTGGAAGATGTTTAGAAACTGTGGGTGATATAAGGGCAGTAACCACCATCTTTTTTCAGGCTTTTTGGAAAGGTTATTACATCAAGCGTTCACCAAGATGAAGATCTACAGAACTGTGTTTTATGTCCATTTTTATTGTGTGATAGTGAACTACAGAAGAGTCCTGAAGAGAAAAAAGCTTGACTTAAAGTTTTATTTTCTATATTAGCTTTTCAAAACTGAAAAGTATAAACGAGACTGTGAGGTTGTGCATTAAGAGGCAACAGTGAGCCTATGCAGTACTGAATCCAGCAATTACTGCCGTAAGTACCATAACCAAACCCATGCTGTTCCTGTGTGCAAAAATGAGGTAGCAACCGAGGTGGCAAGACAAGGGGAATTTTTTCAGGGTGTGTTGATTTTAATTTGGCAGAAGTTATCTAAAGCTACCAGTAATTCACAAAGAAATTTTGTCCTCGCTATTTGAGAGATTCAGTGCTGTTCAATGTGAAGAACCTGTGCAGATTTTGCCATGAAAAGTACTTTTCTCAATACATTCTGGAGACAGAGGAAAGACCAAAAAGATAAGCATGCAAAATGCTGAACCCTGCGCCTTGGCACTGTCTACACACGGGCTTCAGGGAAAGCAAATGTTAAAGCTGTTGTGTCTGTCTTCCCAAGAGATGACAGCTTCCGTGGAGCGATGCTTTGTCTCTGTCCCCTGCCTCTCACTGATAGCCAAGGAAAGCTGGTCCAGTAAACATCTGTGGGGTCCTTTTTCATAGCATGCGCCCTGTGAGGCTCTCTGTATGCTGGCTTAGTTGTTTAGGTCTGCTTTGGCTAATGGACAAAGCGTAAAGTTGAATGATTGTTGATGTTAGCTTTGGACTCTTTCTTACCTACTAAACTTCACGGGTGTGAGATGAGTTACAGAAGCTCCTTTGGTTTTCCTTGTTAATGATTCTGTTGTCTTGCAGTTGTTATTTACATGTTTATCCTGTGATGGTTCTTTTCTGTATGCAGTCAGAGCTTTTTTGGTTGTGTTCCAGACAAGCTAAGACTTTGAGGAAGCTTTTGGGGCTTGGAGAAGTGTTCGTTGGTTGCTTCACTGAACAACAGTGAGCTGTCATAATTGAGATTTTCATCTGAATGGCATCTGATAACATGTCACGTAACACGTAGTGGTTAGCTGGAAGTTAAGTAGCTGTTTGAAGATCTGTTCATTCCCTGCAAATCTACAGCTGAGGTCTGTCACCAGGATGTTTAATTGCACACATCTGCACAATGGTACTGTAGTTCACTCTCCATGTGTACAGGTGTTACTGCTTGACTTCAGCTTCCCAAATTATTCCTGTTGTGTGTGTCCGTGGTGCAGAGTTTGTGCTTTCAAATAATGGGAAAGCCAGCCTGTTTCCCAGTCTCTTCCAAAAAAGCTTGCTTTATTTTGGGAAATCCTTGACTTCTAGTTAATCAAAGACTCTCTCAAAGGTTTTTACCATCTTTTCAGAAGTCCAAATGCTGTTTTCTTGTGGCCTTGCAAGAAATTTTCTGACTTCTCTTTATATTAATATTAGCTTCATACGTTAGAGGAGGAGTATTGCATTTGTGATTCCTGTTTTGGAAAAAAGCCAAGTCGCTTGTCGTATGGCTCTGCACCTCTAAAGGCAGTACTTTCCCGCTTATATGATCCCTTTCTGTCAAAGCCTGAAGATTGCATCTGTTTTGATCAAGGGGACATCTTCATAGCTCATACCTTTCTAGAGACTTTTCTTTTAATAATGCAGTGATAATTTCAATTGTGCATGCATGTCTTGGGCAGTGGAGGTGATAATTAAATGGAGAGGTTTGAAGTCAGGTTAGTAATCAGGCAGAGAAATGGGCACGAAGGGAGAGTAGTACATGGCAAACAGCTGAGGGCCTGACTTGTGTTCTGTGCTGGTGCCTCCAAAGCATTAATTTTTTTTTTTCCTGGTTTTGATCCACAAGCAAGCAATGCTACACATTGGCTTTTTCTGTAGTAATAAATAAACACTGCCAAGGAATATTTATACCTGAACATAAAGAGCTGTACTGGTGGATTATCCAGACGATCCTTGGCAAGGTTTTTGGCCCGTGCCAACTATCCTCTCCCACCAACTTCTTCCACTGGTGAGGAACTGCCATGGCCCAGGGACTGTGCCTGGTAGGCAGCTTGAGCATTACCTGCTCTGAAGCCTGAGGGTGTAGAGGCCAGCTGACCTCCTGTCAGAGCACTTGTCTGGGCATGTTTAAATGTTGTGTATAGACCGTAGCTGTTAAGAGCTGTCTTTGTGCTAAATCCCATCATCAGGAACATTCATGGTGACACCTCTTCCTGAAGAAAGTTACATGTTGATCATTTGTACCCTGTAAGTTTTAAAATGCTCTTACTTTGATGCCTGTGTGGGGGAGTGAACTGTAAGATGACACGATAGCCCTTCCACTTTCAGAGAAGCTGTAGATACAGGATACTTGTAAGGTGTCCTTAGCTGCATAACCACAGCTGTTGTGAACATTCACAACATTGTGAATATCTTAAAATGAAGTTGGCATGATGCTTCTCCGAGGCAGTATTTGTTCTGCTTTCTTTATGAAGAATCAAAATCCATCAGTTATTTTACAGCTTGTTTTTAGAGCTGGTTTTGCAACATGATAGTTATTATCACCATTTTAAATCTCTTGGCCCTTCATATGCCTTGGGTTGCTTCTTGATGTGAAGTTGCAAAGGAGTTATGTGAACGTAATGTTTGTAAAATGCTTTGAAGATGAAAAGCTCTACAGTAGGTTTTTATTATTACCAGAGGCAAAGTGAGCCGGAATGGCTTAATGTTAGACTGTTCATTTCCCAAGAGATGGCTTTGTTTTGAAGAGTGCACATTATCAATTGGGTTGGAGACAAAATTATCTTCTTTCAATCCTGAGTATAAATAAATTGGCAAACTTTCTACCTTGAGATTATTTGCATGAGATATTTGTAAAAGAGCAGAGCGCTTATGGTACCATTTATCGCTCTGTTATTAGCTTACATTTAATGGAACGTTTATTTAATGTATTTGGCTTCTAGTATCAAAAGGTATTTTGAATCCAGTCCATTCAAACATCCTTACATATATAGCAGTATTCTTGTATCTATATGATCTACAGATATACATGAGATATTTATTTGAGAAATACATATATTTGAGATATATAGTGCCGTTCTAGAGATAAAATCGGTTTCAGCATGTAATTAAAAAGGTGGTCTGTATTCAGAAATGGTGACATTTTATTGGAGTTTGGTTCCCAGTCAGTTTTTCACATGTTCAACCTACCACATAGAAAAGAACTGTTTTTTTTTTAATGGCGTTTTAAATATTTCTTGAATCATTTTTATTTCCAGCTTGTATCTACATCATAAACCGATAGGTGGTTGTGCAGGGACAACAAAAAACCAACAAAAAACCCAAACCCAAAGTGAGCTGTTAGGCAATTCTCTAGGTACTGCTGCTTCCTTGTGAGTTAGAGGAGAAGGGAGGGACCTGCCTGGTTCACATGGAAGTTGAGCTCCAGCCTGCTAAGCAGGGGCCTGCTGCAGGGACACGGACGAACGCAGGAGGTTCGTTGTCCCCCTCGCCCTTGCAGCGGGTCATCGCGTCCAGCCAGCAGCCCTGTTCTGCCAGAGCTGTGCGGTGGTGTCGGCACAGGGCGCCCGGGGGCCTTTGGGGGAGCGGGCCCGGCGGCAGCCGGGCCTTTCTGGAGCGGCCATTGTGGGTGGAGGGGCCGCTGGGCTGCGGCCAGGCGCGAGGCACCGCGTCCCTGCGGCCTTGAGCGGGCCGCCTCGCTCCGTGCAGCTGCACAAGCTTTGGGCTCCTGCCTGGCACTTGCAGAAATCCTCACGGAATTTGCTGATTCTGCCAGACGCGAGCTAAACACTTGTTCCCAAGCGGTGTGTTCCATCAGTACAGCTGTTGGTTATGAAAAACATGCGAGGGCTTTCATCCGTAATAATAGAGCTTTGTTGGAGTATTGCAAGCGCAAAATATTCTGAGTAATACTATCAAATAGTACCTCCTTGCTTAGCTTATAGGGAGTTTTATTCCCCCATGCTTCAAGTTCATTTATTGTCCTCACTTATGTCAGAGGTGGGGAGAGAGGGAGAGAGGCTAAATTTTCCCTTGGTACCGTCAGTAAGGATTAACTGACATTGTTGGGCAATGCTTTCAAAATATTCTGACCTATTTATACAACAAAATAATCAGAACAAAATAAACACTTCTGGTCAGCGGCTGAATGCTGTATTGTGGCAGCTATGTTTGGCAGTGGATTTTCTCATCATCTTTCCAGCGTAGACAAAACCTGAATACCACAGAAATCTTAAGCATTACAAGTAGATAACATGCTTTCTGAATAGCGTGATTCTTCTGTTGGGGAAGGGGGTCAGTTGGGCCATAATTCAGTTAGAACAAATGCTTACGAAGCAACTGACAAAAAAGCATATGAGTAGATTTGTCATTTTGCCATGCAGGGTAATAAATAATGGCATCATTTCCAGCAAACTGCAATATATACCTGCAAGATGGTAGCTCTCTCTCCAAGGTGTAATCTCTGCAAAGAAGCATTAAATAGGGAATTGTGAGAGACTGTAAGTATTATTGGTTTCCTGCTTGGGTTTTATTTTTTTGTTTTGTAACAAGCACAGTGGATACTTGCAATTGCCACCTCATTTTTATGTGGTATGCCCTAAGGAATGAATCGAGAGAAATGTTTCATTTTAGCTGTTTGGACAACCATCCCATATTTCCTGGGTCACAGATTTTTGGTAGTTTCAAGGATAAAATTGCCTGACAATCAAGACAGGAAATAGCTCTTTCTATCTTGCATCTTCGACTGGGATTCTAAATAGTATAGTAAAATGAAGCCATTTTTAAACTTGTCTTTTTTTTCCCAATTCCATTTAGTGATAGTCCCAATGCTGTTCATGAGGTGGAAAAGTGGTTACCACGGCTGCACTCGGTTGTCATAGGACCTGGCTTAGGTAGAGATGAAGTTCTACTTGAGAACGCTAAGGTAATGTGTATACTGATATTTTATTCTGTGTCTTTATGTTGCATTTTATTAAGCAATTTCCTGTCTTTTACATGATTACACAAATGTTTTTGATGAGGTTACTAAGTAACATATTGTTGTTGACTGAAAATTACAGTTGTTAGTCATGGTCTTATTAACCTGTAAGCATCAGTCTGAATTTTAGGCACCCGTATGGTTATTTTGATTTGCTTTCGTCTTGATTGTGAAAGTTGCTAATTAAGAAATAGATGGTGGCATCTCTAGATAAAGGGCTCTGTGTTTTCTTAGGTGGAAAGCACCTGTACTGTAAGAACATAAATAGAAATTTCAGTTCCTGATTTTTGGAACCGTATTTGACAACTTGTATCAGGAGAGGTACCAAAGAACAGGGACTGTGTCCCCTTGCAATAAGAAATAATACTCTTAATTATAAAATGTTGCAGGTTTCTGCTCTGGATAAAGAGGTAATCCTATTTCCTGTCAAGCCTTAGCAGAGAGCTGAAAACAGGAGCTTAGATGGTTCTGTACTCTAAATAATATGTACTTAACACTGTCTTCCAGATGATGTCTTGTATTACTGTCAACACATCTTTATATGTTCAAAGTATATCTCTCAGTCTAATGTCAATCTAATTTTGGACAATTTAGTTTGTGGGGTTTTTTTCCTGGGAAGTATTACTGAATTAATTAGTGGTACTAACAAGTGGAATTAATATAATTTACAGAAATGTTGAGAGTTACCCAGTGAAATGGCAAAACAGGGGAGCCAAGAGACTGGAGACCACACTATCCAAGTAGTTTAGATTACCCTGATTGCTATGGAGGGTGGTTTTGCTAGGCTTTTGTTAGAGAAAGTTGCTATTGGAGCTCTTAGCTTCTTTAATTCTCCTGCTTCCCAAAAATGTTTGGTTTATGGTATAGAGGTACAAAACTAGTAAAAGAGCATGGATTCAGAAAGAAAGAAAAAAAATTTATTACAGCTGATCAACAAATCAAATTCTATTCTGAATGAAAAATTTCAACAGAGATTTTGTTCTTTTTTGAAAACATTTTTCCAGCAATCTTTTTACAGAAAAAAATTGTGGGCAATGATTTTTCTTTTTTTCTTCATTTTTTAAAAAAAATCAGTTGTTTTTTCTAAATGAAAACAACTTTAAACATAAGAAAGTAAGAATTCGTTTAGAATATCTAAGATATCTAACATAAGCTTCTTTTGTATCAGAATTCCATCTGGGTTTTATAAATGTCTGTCAATGTTGTCTGTGTTGCAGAAGTATCTGGAAGATTCCTTGATTGTTTTTTGTTTGTTTTTTTTTTCATCATTACTAAAAATAATTTTGCTTTCTTAGTGAATTGCAAGCATACTTTTACTTCAGCCCGGCTGTCCTGTGTGAGCTAGCTTGAAGTTAAAGAAACAAACCCAGCCAATGAAGACAAGGCATTTGGAAGTTACTTCATGCTAAAATCTCAGGCCACGTTCATATGAGCTGTGGATCTGACCTTATTAATTTCAAGTCACATTGAAGCTCAAGTTCTTTGTCCTCACTGTAATTATGTGAGTGTTCATTAGTTACCCAGTGTCATGGGGTTTTTAACATGTAACTGGGGACAAGTGAACCCTGGTTGCCTGCTTGAGGAAGACTGGTGCTTCTCTCTGCGGAGGAAAGGCTGAGTCTCCTTCTTGCTTCAACAGCAAATTTTAAGCTTTGTATCCCTCTGTATCACTCTTCACCTTCAAGAAAAAAAGCAAGTGATGATAGCGTTGCTATTTTAAACTTTTATAGGAGGCTGGCTTGGTATATGATTTTCTGTTTTCCATTTAAGCTAACCTCAGCATGCTGTCATATGAACACAGGGCTGAGACGTACATTAGTGTGGCCAGGGGTTTGTATCGGAGAGGCAGTGACGGTGGAAGAGAGCTTCCCCTCTTCTTCCTGCCCTGTTAAAGTGCTGAGGCGTAGTGATCTGTCACCTCTCTAATGCTGTTCTTCTGTCAGTTCTTGTCAGTCTTGTGCCAGCGTGTTGCCAATGAATGTGGTTGTCTAAACAGTCATGTGTTTGGGCTGCTTCTCTCCTCTGAACATTGAGAAATTAAGATACTAATGCAGTAACCAGCAATTTCTGGTATATGGCCCATGGACAGTGTTTTATTGTGGAATAGCCCAAGTACTTGTTGACCAGATGGTGCATCTTCTCTCTCCAGACCAAAGACTGCTTTGCTTCCACAGCACCTTTACTGTGTCACCTGCCTCCCTCGTGCTTAATGCCTGTAGTGTGTGCACTGTGACATTTCAGCTCCTTTCAATAGTGTGATGGAAAAGAAGCACCCTGTGATCAGTTTCCTTGGATTTTTTTTTTTCCTTGTTGGCTTCCTGTAATTGTCAGGTTTTGCCTGTAATTCCATGTACAAGTCCTGTTACAAGAAGCCACCCTGCAAGTTATGTCCCTCTCTCATACGCCACTTGTGTGGGTCTGTGCCAAAATCCTCGCATGACGTTCCTCAGTTGCCTGGGTGAGAGCTGATGGTCTGTCAGAGCTTTCTAGCCATGAGTTTGCAGGATCAGGAGCTGCAGCTTCAGAAAAATCACAGAATTGTCGAATCCTAGAATCATTTAGGTTGGAAAGAACCTTTAAGATCATGAAGTCCAGCTGTAAATCTCCTAAAGAAAGCATTTGTTGTGTCCTAATAGTTGTGCAGATATCCCATGCAGATATGGCAATCCTCGTCTTGGCCTGGTTAGACCCTCCAACTCTGGAGCAAACAAGCAGTCCAAGCTATTTCTCTTCAAAAGAAGGAAACAAAACCACATTTCTGCTCCACTTCTCAGCTCTGGAGTGTGCGGATTGAAGCATCTCTGCTCCCCATTCTGCTTCAAGCTTCTGAAATGCTGTTACCACATCTGGTGTGGAACTTAGCCACCACAGCCAGCTTCCTTGTAGGCAACATCAGGCCATCTGTTTTTCCCTTTCAGCATCCGTGATTGATTTTGGCCAGAGACAACTGTGCCGTTACCTCCAGGAATTCACTGCAGTTGGTATGCTGCTGCTGCTCGTTTAGACTTGGTTGAGAAAGAGTTTAGCTGCCATGTGGAAGCAAGGCTGAGGTCCCTACAACTGTCCTCTGTCAGTGCTTAGAAGCGGCGTATTTCCAAAGCTATTGGATGTTCTTTTTTCACACAGCAGCAATATTATGTCCCTATCGTATCTACCCACCACAGCATTCTTCATTCAGCCGTTCCAAGGATGTTTGCACTTCTGGTTTACTCTGATCTGATTTTTCTTGTAACCTGAGGCTTGGAAGTAGGGGAATTCCCACCTGTACCTTACCTTCAAGAGTTGTTCCTCAGGTTTGTGAGAGAACCAAGTTCCTCTCCTGCAGGGTGTTTAGTGCAGCTCCTGAGAGGACTTCGGAAATAATATTATAATCTTTGCATAGCCCTCTGCGAGAGGAGATGATGCTGCCTAGTGCTCCAGGATGTTCTGCATGCTGCTGCTGCCTAGCAGTTAGCTGAGCCTGTAACTGCCTGTGTCCTTTATCAGTTTCCAGCCTCTTGTCATCTCCTTTCCCCTATTCCTTCTGGCATGAATGTGATGTTCCTGTCAAATTTCCTGCGTCTGAGTTTGGTGGATCTTTAATGGGTACGTTAACTGGCTTTGTGCTCAAATGAACTGATACAGAATTGTCGGTGGAATAGTAGTTACTGTTGGATCAAGTAGAGAAAAGAATTCACGCTTATGAAGAGCCCTATCCTTAACTGCAGTAAGACTTTGACGTTGGAATCATCTTTGCTTTGCAGAGTTCCTTGCCTCCCTGAAGCGGTAGCACCAAATCCTGGACTCTGCCACTCCAGGCTTGCTGTGTTTTGTTTAGCAGCAGCAAAGTTAGATTGCTGTTTTCAGTAGAGCATCCTTGCTTCCCTCCTGTAAGACAGGTAGTGATTAATAGCAAGCATGGCTCTGCGTAACTCAGATTACATGGTAAAATTGACTGGGTTCTCAAACCACGTATTTGTTCCTCTTGCTCAATTCTCAATCTTTGTTTTAGCTCTGAGAGAATGTCCTGAATACCAGCCTGGGTTCTTTTGGCTGAGGCCCTATCCAGCTGCCATTTCTCCCTATTGTTGCTGCTCTTTCTCTCCCCGCAACCCCCTCGCCCTGCAATGCTACCCTCAGCCAGTCATTTGCCCTTAAAGATCTCTGCTATCTGTTGGGATATAAATTTCAGAAATCTCATTTTCTACCGCTAGTGACATCATCTTAAGGTTGTGTGGAAATGTCTTGGCTGTAGTTAATGTCTAGCAAAGGGTGGGAGAGGTCTGGGCGTTGTAATGGTTCAGCTCCATTGAGTATGCCTAGACAGAGCCCATTGGAAATTTTCTCTTTCAGGTGGATTCTCAGTTCCACCTCAACTGAGGTATCCGCCTTTCTGTGTTAGTTTTTGGTTAATTGGATTAATTTCCCCCTTTCAAGCCTCATGTCTTTGGGATTTAGGCAACACTTCACAGCCTTAATAAACTGTGAGAATGGGACCAGGTGCTTCAGTACACTATCTGCACTAGTTTTTGCAAGGTCAAGAGAACTACAGAGTACAGAGCCACCTTTTGTTGTCATAGCGGCCTGTTAAAGCTAGATCTGCTACTGCGGACCTTGAGGAGCATTTTCCTCTTGATATCTGAGCAGTCCCCCAGGTTCTGTTTGTACCAAGTATAAGACACCTGAGAAGCATCCCAGGCTAATGCCGCAGTTGATAGATGAGTAGTATTGTCTGTAGTACCTACCACCGTGTACGAATATGAACAACAGCATGTGTTACTCTTTGGAGTCAGTGCTCATACCAACTCAAGTTAGCAGAAGAATTATTTACCAGAAGGTTAATTCTTCAGTGTGTGTCACTTGCATTTGCTTCCAGCCCTGTTGATACCCTCTGGAGAATGCTCTGGAGGTTCTTGCTGTGGGGATTCAGCGGTTCCTAGGGAACTAATGTAGCAGTGAGGACATGC